ACGTACGTACTACTACGTACCTACTATATATATATATATATACTATATATATATATATATATATATATATATATATATATAGTCATAAACATACGCGTATAGAAACTACCTGCAATACACTGGCTATCTGCTGGTATACTTGTATCAGAGCATTTAAGGTCCAAGAGAAGTCCATCATATTTCCCAGCCATTGGGAGGCAATGTCAATGGACGGTGCCCTGCCCGAGTCCCATTCTCTACAGGACAGGTGTCAGTACAAATGAAATCAGAAAACCAAAAGAAAGATCAGTATCAATGATACGTGCGGCTACACGCATGATCGAGCAACAGGTTTATATGTATCTCAAATAACACCCCGATGCTATAACACCGCAAGTTCCGCAAGATAAGGCGGAAGCACACCTTACGCTGACCTTCTAGATTCACACATACTGAACATTGCCAGATACAGACACCACACACACCTGGCCTTGGTCTCCATCTGCGCAAACATGTCCACAATCATTGGAGCGGTCTCTTCTAATTCGGACGATAACTGCGTAGAGTTGAAGTTTGTCCTGAAAGTTAGTGTAGACCGAGTAACTCAACGATATATAACCCCCCCCGCGATATGGGGAGTTCAGTCAATGCAAAGATAAATATATGTATGTAGATAAACAAAAACCACTCATTTTAACACGTACAGACACACAGCCACAGAGAAAGAGAAACAGGCACAGAAAGACATGACACACCCATATACAATATATATATATATATAGACTTATACATATACATATATATATATATATATATAATATGTATATATATATATATAAATATATATACACACACACACACATATATGTATATATAAGTATATATATGTATATGAAGATACATTTTGAGCATGCATGTTTCTATCACTATGTAACTTCCTGTATTCTTGCACCTCCAAAAAGATTAAACCATCAACAAACATATCCATTGTCACGCATACGGCCTACTTCAACGTGTAGCACACCTTTGGTTGTAGCGTACACAGACTGGCTATCATCTTGGCGACTAGCGCTTGATTGTCCTGACCAAACACGGCGCAGAAATCCATTATGCTAATTGGTGTGCCAGCAAGTTTAGAAAGTTAGTCAGAGTGCATGTGATTGGTGTACAAATAAGTTAAAGTTAGAGTGTATGTGATTGGTGTACGAATAAGTTAGAGTGTATGTGCAAATAAGTTAGAGTGTATGTGATTGGTGTACAAAATAAGTTAGTGTATGTGATTGGTGTACAAATAAGTTAGTGTGTATGTGACTGGTGTACAAATAAGTTAAAGTTAGAGTGTATGTGAATGGTGTGCAAGCAAGTTTAGTAAGTCAGTCAGAGTGCAGCTGATACACGTACCAGCAAGTGCCAGAGAGAACCCTTTCCGATGCTATTGTGCATGTTTTTATTCCTATGTCACGATGATCCACAGACTTAACAGTGCCATTGGGTACAGGACTAACCGCTCAGCGCCGGGCGTGGGCGTCTCCACATGTGCCCTTATGTAACTATGTAAGCGTAGACGTATGAGATATCTAATCTACACGCATTGCACTGGCACTTGTGTGTACAGATTTATGAGACGCACGCACATAGGACTGAGTAAATGGCAAGCCGCCAATTGTACCCGTGATGTACGCAGGAGATGACATAACGGAAACGAAACGCCCTCTAGCTTGGCTTTAGTTGTTGGTTAAAACGTTGAATACGCGGTTGGATACACACGGGAATGTGAATAAGAACGGTCGTGAGTGTTCACCGTGACCGTGTACATCTACGAGCGAATACGTACTTGTAAACCACTACGCGTGCATGCAAGACGTTTACGTGGCCACACACCAGCTCACATGGTATGTGGTCGCATAATCCCCAACATACATATAATGGTAAACAGGGTAAACAGGGTAAACAGGGTTTTGAGGGTTTTAGGGTTTCTGAACCGTAAAACCCTAAACTCATTCGTAAGTTGACTACAGATAATGAGTCGTGTCGTGTATCGCACAAACATGCACAAACGCAATGGACAGGCGATTGCAGGGCCACCATCACACCAGAGCAAATATGTGAACAGAAATCAAGTCAACAAGCAGCAGCAATTCAAGTACAGTTAACACACTCCTACAATGAAGAGCATGTGGACGACAGTCTGTGTGTACACATATGCATAGATAGGGGGGAGTCAAGTACAGTTAACAAACTCTTACAATGAAGGGCATATATACGACAGTCTGTGTGTACACATATGCATAGATAGGGAGGAGTCAAGTACAGTGAACACACTCCTACAATGAAAGGCATATGGACAACAGTCTGTGTGTACACAGATGCAGGGATAGGAGTGGTGTACA